TCCGGCGTCCAGTCTACGGTCTCCGCCAGGCGCCAGGTGAGTGGCACGACACACTGAGGACTACGCTCGCGGCACTTGGGTTTGCTCCTTCTACTGCCGACCCGTCGCTGTTTCTGAGCACCGACACCTCTCTGCCGCCGTTCTACATCCTCGTGTACGTCGACGACTTGGTCTTTGCCACAGCTGACACTTGCCTGGACTCGCCTACGTGAAGTCCGAGCTGCAGAAGAGACACACGTGCACTGACCTGGGTGAACTGCGCAGCTATCCTTGGCTTGCAGATCACCCGGGACAGAGCACGCCGCACCATTACCCTGACTCAGTCTACATGGTGCAGCAGGTCCTTCAGCGCTTCGGCTTCACGTACTCCTCGCCTCAGGCCACTCCTCTGCCTACTCGCCACTCGCTCTCAGCTCTGCCTTCGGATGAGTCCGTAGAGTCGAGTGGCCCGTTTGCAGAGCTTGTTGGCTGCCTCATGTGCATGATGACCTGCACACGACCTGACCTCGCATACCCTCTTAGCATTCTCGCACGCTTTGTTGCTCCTGGGAGACACCGACCAGAGCACATGGCTGCAGCGAAGAGGGTGTTGCGCTACTTGTGCAGTACGTCGGGCATGGGGCTAGTGCTTGGAGGGCGCAGTCCAGTGGTCCTCACTGGGCACGCAGACGCTTCTTGGGCTGACGACCAGGCTACGCAGCGGTCGTCACAGGGTTACACCTTCAGCCTTGGTTCCGGCTCTGTCTCGTGGCGGGCTACCCGCTCGTCTTCTGTTCTCGGCTCCAGTTGTGAGGCTGAGATCTACGCTGGGGCTATGGCTGCACAGGAGTTACGCTGGCTCACCTACCTGCTGACCGACCTTGGAGAGCAGCCTCGTTCTCCTCCAGTCCTGTACGTAGACAACAAGGCCATGCTGGCCTTGTGTCGAGAGCAGCGACTAGGAGCACAGAACGAAGCACATTGCTCTCCGCTACTTTCTTGCTCGTGAGCTACAGCAGCGTGGACAGTTGCGACTTGCATACGTGGCCTCTGAGGCCAACACTGCTGATGTCTTCACCAAGGCACTTGCGCCTTGTGATCATCAGCGTTGTTGCACGCAGTTGGGTCTTGTGCCTGTCTTGCCTCACTTGCTCTCCTCTTGACCTTGCTTGTACCTTCGCCTATATATACTCTTGCTCTTGCTTGCTTGACTCTTGTATATCTCTATATATGATCTTGCATAGTGAACTGGCCTTCTGGCCTTTGAACTTGTGCTCGGAATGCGTGGTGACTTTGTGATCCACCCTGAGCTTTGCTTTGCTTTGCTTGACTGGTCTTGTGACCCCTTGTTCTCCCCCACTTTGCCTATGGGGGTGTGTCAGAACATATAGCTTACTTGTTTCTGTAGGCTATAGTGGGGTATCCCATAGGGGGTACAACACAATTAGGGTTTCCTATTTGTATTCACTTCACTTCATAGTCATTCATTCTCGTTCACACTTTCTCAAGGCGGTCGAGGTAGGAGGAGCGCAACAAATGAATCGGACGGCTACGATTCCAACCCACGGACAGGACGATTTCCCGAGACGGGCGCAGAGGAATCAAACCGCACGCTCTGGCAGCGCGTCAACAAATCAAAGACATTTCCCCCGCTACTCCTCTCCAGAGGAATTGGCGAAACGAACAGACCTGTTCGCAGCCGTCGATGATTGGGATTTGGCGCCCCTGTGCGACAGTCGTCAACCATCTCTGTCGCGCCGATTACCGCCCAATTTGGGTCAGCTGTTCTCACTGGTGTTACTCACCCTGCTCCTTCACCTCGCGCAAAATCCGGACTCGGTCGCAGGGTGGCGACTGCTGTTGTTTCTTCCTCGGCTCACACTTCGCCAAATGTCGCCAAGAAGACCGAAGTGGCCCGAAGTCAAAGCCCGTCTTAGAGCTTTCCAGCGTGGCGAATGGGGTCAGCTGTATTCTAACGCAATAGAAGCCATCAACACCCCACCGCCTCCACGTCACCAGCCTGACGAGGCGGGAGTACTCAGCAGGGCGGAGGGCCTGGCCAAGCGTGGAAGTCTACGGCGAGCCGTGCTGGCCCTCGAGTCAACCCCAGTCTGCACGCCAGGCCCCGCAATTTTGAATGAACTTCGCGCAAAACACCCCCGAGCCAACAACGAGGAGCTGAGCTGGCCAACAGCACCTGACGCGAACCTCCAGATCAGCCACGCCGATTTATCCAAACTTCTGGGCCGGTGCGAAAATGGGGTGGGGACTGGACCGTCCGGAACCGCTTTCGAACACCTTCGCGACGCATCTGCAATCAACGCATCGGTCCGCACCCACCTGCATGCCTTGATCAACACTATCCTGACAGGCAAATTACCCGAGCCAGTGGCAGACCTGCTGACAGCCTCACGCCTAATCGCGCTGTCCAAGCCAGGTGGGGGGGTTCGGCTAATTGCAATTGGCGAATGCCTGACGCGCCTCGCGGCCAAGGCAGCTCTAACCGCAATTGGAGAAGCTGCACGCGACCACTTCTTGCCACTACAGTACGGGGTGGCGGTACCAGGGGGAGCAGAGGCAAACATCCATGTCGCACGTGCCTTCGTCGACTCGAGGGTCAGCTGCGTGGTGCTACAGACCGACATCGCAAACGCTTTTAACAGCATTTCGCGACAGGCAATCATCAACGGGTTACACGACAACAACCTTTCGTCACTGCTCCCCCTGGTGCGGCTAACGTACGGTAACCCATCGAAGCTGTACCTCGACTCGAACTTCGCCAGCAACCCGCTAAATAGTGAACGCGGCGTGAGGCAGGGGGACCCACTCGGCCCTCTTCTGTTCGCAGCAGGGATTCACCCAGCACTTCGCGAAACGGCCGATGCACACCCCCACGTTCTCTGCTTGGCGTATGCAGACGACGTGACATTTCTGGGGGACGACACAGACACTGTAGCAGCATTCAATTTCTTCACGAGCAAGCTAGCGCATCTGGGGCTTAAACATAACCCACAGAAATGTGCTGCATGGAGCACAAGCGGCGACGAGTCAACGCAACTGCCACCCGGGGTCCCATCTTCAAAGGACGGGATACGCCTTCTAGGCAGCTTCCTGGGGCCAGCGGCCGGTGCCGCCAAATTCCTTGCGGGGCAGCTGGAAGAAATGGCGAAGCCGCTGCCGCTCTTAGAACGTGCCGACCCCCAAGTAGCTTCCCTGCTCCTGACCCGCTCTATTTCCAGACACGAAGCATACCTCACTAGAACTACACCACTGAACCTCCTACCACGAGACACCTGGGCACAGTGGGGGAGAGACCTCCTAACCGCGCTCCTGACATCCTGCGGGATTAGAGTCCCTACTTGTAGCACGGAGCAGTCGAGAGTGTGGGCGCAGGCCTCGCTTCCATCATCCTTGGGCGGCCTGGGAATCACGGACCCACTCGTAGAAGGGGTCTACGGCTTCGTAGCCAGCTTCACACAGGCCGCGCTCTTCTTTTCCTCCCTGACGTTAGCACCAGACACAGCACTAACCCGAGCACACAGCCACATGGTTCTGCCCCGGGACGTCACCACACCGCTTCACTCCTGGCTCACAGAGTGCGAGACTGCCCTGCCCTCAGACGCACGCGACGTAGTCTACCAGGAGCGGCTCTCTCGGTCGGACATCAAGCTCCAGCACACTCTGGCCCTGAAAGTACAGGGGAGTAGGTATGCGGTACAGGTCCAAGAGACGAGACGAATGAGCCTGAATCCACTCTCTGGGCACACACAGAGAATGTTCTCACTCACAGGCTACGGCACAGGAGACTGGCTGACAGCGGTACCGGTAGCTTCCTCACGTCGCATCGGCCCGGTACACTTCAGCAACGCCGTGCGATTCCGGTTGGGCCTCCCTTTCTCTACTCCGAAGAAGTGTGACTGTGCAGAACACATCGCTATCACAGACCCGCGCCTCCCCAACCACCTCTTCCGCTGCGGCACGAGGAAGCACCGGACGAATACTCATAACGAACTCCGCGACGCGTGCATCAGCATGGCACAAGACGCGGGGTTCATAGTACATCAGGGAGGCAAACGTCTACTGCCCCATAGAGGAGCAGACGGCTGATTTTACCATGACAGACAGAAGCAGTGGGGCGGTCTGGGTGTGTGATATCACGGTCACAGATCCTATTAGCACCAGGGACCCGGAGGCACGGAAAGGCAGGGGATGGGCAGCCCGGGAGCAGGCAGATAAAAAGATCAAGCACTATGAAAACCGGCCAGAGACAGTAGGTTTCTTTCCCCTCGCAGTGGAGACCTATGGCTGCCCTTGTGCTGAGGTCCCTGTGTTCCTGAAACTCCTTGCAGACACGGCGGCTCGGCGATACTTCAACGCCGACTCCAAATCCTATCATGCCGCGAAGTTCCTGCACCAGTTTAGGACAGAGGTGGTCGGTTGCACTGCAGAGGGCCCAATCTATGGGTCTCATGATCAAGTTAGGGGAGGCGGCTGTTGCAGAGAACCCGCCGGTAGGAGGGATAGGGCAGGAATTATACCTTGGGGACTGTTTTACTGTCCTGGAGCCTCTTCTTGAGCTCTAGGTGGCAGAGAAGGGTTGATAGTCTAGGCTACCCTGCATATTAGCACCCTGCTGTCTCTCAATGCATGTGTGTACCCTTCTGGCTTATCAATATACGGACCATTAGAGAGAGAGATGGCATAGCTTAGTCCTTAGCCATTTCTAGGCCCCTCTTCTCTAGGATCTAGTCCTTAGCCATTTCTAGGCCTGTTTCCTTAGTATAAAGGCTCTGGATCTAGGCTAGTGAGCTCATTATTCACTGGTGAGTTAGGATCACTCTCCAAATCCGGCGGCTCGCGCCAGCCGCCTTCGGCGGCCGCCGCTCGCCAGCGTGGCCTTCGGCCGCGCGTGAGGGGTGGCAAGGGTAGTAGCAGCACAAGTCCTATAGCAGCATGTGGTACATCAAGAGCCACTAGCAGGGCAGAACAACAACACCACCCCCAGGCGAGGGAATTCCGCCATGGGGAAGCCCAAGGCAAGGCCCAGCACCACCGGAGCCTCCAAGGGAAAAACAACAGTCACTCGGCGAGGATCCAGCACAACCTCCCGTCCATCCAACGAAGGACGGAAGCGGCAGCAGACACAAGGCCGAGGGGGCCCTCCTGGGCAGACTCAGCTAGCCTCACCATTGCCTGGTGTCCGGGCCCAAGCCTCGGCACAAGGCCGATCAAGGGAAGATAGTGCAGCATCTCCGTCGCTGCAGCCACCGCCGCAGAGCGCTCAGCCGGGCAACATCCCGTCAACCTCCAAGCCTTGTCGTGCCAAACACACGTGGAGCTGGTCCAGTACGTACGACAGCAGCGTCAAACACGTCCCCACGTGCACAACGCGCTGCTCGACGAGGGGAGGCAGCGCGCCTGCAGGAGCGGCAGCAAGAGGAGCAGGCGGGACAGGAGGGTTTGGCGGCGCAGGAGGAGCCGGCAGCTGACGCAGTTGAGGCCGAGGCAGAGGAAACTGATTTACGGGGGGATGTCGCTGCTGCGGGGTCAGGTTTGACGCGGAGGGGGGAGCAGGGTGCTGCGGCAGAGGCGGATCCGACGGGGACGGGGCGGGAGGCGCACTCGCCTGCTGCTGTGCCTGCAGCCGCCTCTGACGACGACTCAACCGCGCCCGCTGTGGGGCCGACGGCGCCACCAGCGGACGAGGTTGTGGCTGCGGAGGAGGCGCATGTGGAGCATGGGTCGGCTGATTCACCGGCGCCATTGGTGGCGGTGTCCCCCTCACCTCTCGGGGAGGTGGAGATTGCGGCGGTTGTAGCTGAGGCAGAAGGGCAACCAGAACAACCCCCGAACGAACCGTTTGCGCCGACTGCCGCTGAGTCCGCCGGAATGTCTGCTGCTGCCACGGCCGTAAACATGCGGGAGCGCGGCCAGGCGGTGGATGGAATTGAGGGTCCCGTGATCGGCGCCGCTTTTGGCGCCGCACCAGCAAGGAAGAAGGTGAATCTGCGCGCCCAGCCAGCCCCGAGGCGGCCCGGAGCAGGGCTAGGACCTGGGGTCCCGGGACCCCTCCTGGGCTGGCTTCGGCAAGGGCAGTTGCCACCAGAGCAAGCGCGTTTGTTGTCATCCGCACCACAGCCTGCAATGGGAACCGGCGGGAGGGGTAACACGGAGGCAGCTGGCCGTGCACATCGGGGAACCGAGCAGCCAAGCAGGATGCAGCAACCAACGGAAGGATTGTCAGAATGTTATTATCTAGCCTGTAGTGGGGTGCTCTATAGCGAGTACAACCCTGTTAGGGTTTGCTATATGTATCCCAACTGCTGCTAGTGAACCCCTCCTTTGTTCATTTCTCTCTTGCCTAGCTAGCTAAACCCTAGCTATGGCTCCTCACTATGCTTATGATTCTCACATGCTATCAGAGCATCTACGCTCCTGGCCTGTGGGCCCACCTAACTGCTTCCGCTGCTACTCTGTGTGTTGCACGCCCCGTGGCGTGCGACGGATTATTCTTCCCGCCGCGCGCTCGGAGCGTGCGGCGGTTTTCTGCCCGCCGTGCGCCCCGAGGCACGCGGCGGTTTTCTGCCCGCCGTGCGCCCCGGGGTGTGCGGCGGTTCTCGACCCGCCATGCGCCCCGGGGCGCACGGCGGCCTTCTACCTCGTCGGTCCGCGCGTCGCCCCCGGGGGGCGTTTCGACGGGCGACGGGGACCAACCCGTCGTTCCCCGTCGCCCGTCCCGGCCAGCGCGGGCTGCGCTAGCCCCGATCGCGGCCCGTACGGGCTGCGCCCGGCCCGCGCGCGGCCCGTTCGGGCTGCGCCAGGCCCGCGCGCCGCTCGTACGGGCTGCGCCAGGCCCGCGCGCAGCTCGGGCCGCCTGCGCGCGGTTCGTCGGGCTGTGACAGGCCCGTGGGCGGCCCGTTCCTCTCTGCCCCTGAGCTGCTCGCTGTCCCCCGTGCTTCTGACGGTGCCCCAACCCTGCTGCTGCCCGTTCTCCTGAATTAGGGTTTGGGGGTGGGGGTGCAGTTTCTGTGCGCTGTTCCACTACTTCTCCTCCTTCTCCGTCTCCCGCTGCTGCAGCTGCCGCTCAGGGGGGTGGGTGTGTGGGAGCCGAAGGAGTGGTACTAGGGGGGTGACGTGGGAGTGGAGTTAGGGGTTAAGCAGGGGGTGTGTGTCAAGGGTGTGGGTCAGTTGGAGGAGGTTGTGTGGAGGTAGTTGTCGTGTCGCCTGCAGCGCCTGTAGTCCGTCCCCCTTGCTTCGGTAGCCAGTGAGCCTGTTGCACCAGTCGCCAGTGGGTCCGTTGCTCCTGTCGCTCGTCTTAGCCGCGGAGCCAGTCACTCCAGTAGTCCGTCGCCCTTGCTTCGGTAGCCACTAAGTCAGCCGCTCCTGTGCCCGTGCCTCTGCAGCTTCAGACGTTGCCTACCATCTTCTCTCCTTCCACACTTCCTCCTCCTCCTCACTTGCCCTCTGTGATAGCCTCTAGCTTTGCTTGCATTTGTGAACCTTCTCTATGACTGCGTGCTCTGCTGATTACACCCCACTTTGGCTATGGGGGTGTGTCAGAATGTTATTATCTAGCCTGTAGTGGGGTGCTCTATAGCGAGTACAACCCTGTTAGGGTTTGCTATATGTATCCCAGCTGCTGCTAGTGAACCCCTCCTTTGTTCATTTCTCTCTTGCCTAGCTAGCTCAACCCTAGCTATGGCTCCTCACTATGCTTATGATACTCACAAGGATCACCCACGACCCAGCAAGCAACTCACCGGGAAACACGGAGCTCTACGAGAGGCCGAGAAATTGTGTGGGGCAGGCCGACGAGGGCAGGACGAGCGACAATGGCGACTCCCTGGGTGCCGGCCGGTCGAGGTTTAAGGCCTGCGCACGAGAGCGCGAGAGGCGGCAGCGCTGGCGTACTCCCCGCGATCCCCAGTGGAGGCAGAGGGGGAAGAGGAGGGACACGCGGAAGGGGAGTTCCACTCCTGGGTGGCGAGGCTGCAATCGTGAGATCAAGCACGTGGCGTGATCGCCACGACCGCCCGGAGCGTGAACCTACGCCTGTGTGTGTGATGTCAAACTCATATTCTATAGCTTGTCTAGGCTATAGTGGGGTAGAAACTATGGGGTACAGTTTCCTAGGATTTCCTACTTGTACCCAACCTTGTGCTAGTTCATTCATTCCTCAATTCTCACATGGTATAGAGCAGGTTCCCTAGTGGGAACTTCCTAGGGCCCACCACTGAACATCGATGTTTTTCCTGCCCTGAGATCGAGTCGCTCCTAACCGAGGCGCGCCCTGTGCGCCGCCCTCCTCTTAGCGACCCGTCGCGCCGCCCTTAGCGGCCCTCCCCCTCTCTCATGGCCCCTCGCGACCCCGTCGCCGCCCTCCTTGCGGCCCATCGCGCCGCCCTCAGCGGCCCCTCCTCCACGGCCCCGTCGCCGCCCTATCGCAGCCCCGTCGCCGCCCTCTTCGCGGCCCTGTTGCCGCCCTATCGCGGCCCCGTTGCCGCCCTCTTGAGGCCCCGTCGCCGCCCTATCGCTGCCCCGTCGCCTCCCTCTCGCAGCCCCGTCGCCGCCCGTAGCGGCCGTGCAGCCCCTCGCGGCCTCGTCGCCGCCCTCTCGCGGCCGCGTCGCCGCCCCCCCCCCCCCCCCCCCCCCCCCCTAGCGGCCCCAATCGCCGCCCTCTTGCAGACCTCGTCGCCGCCCCTCTGCGGCCCCGCTGCCGCTCCTAAGCGGCCCCGTCACCCCCCCCCTAAGCGGCCCCGACGCCGCCTCCTACACGGCCTCGACGCCGCCTCTGCCGAGCTGCCCAGCAGAAGAGACACCGTGCCGCCCAGCCGCCGGGCCGCCCGACAGCCGAGCCGCCCAGCAGCCGAGCCGCCTAGCCACCGAGCCGCCCGACAGCCGAGTCGCCCAGCAGCCGAGCCGCCCAGCAGCCGAGCCGCCCAGCAGCCGAGCCGCCTAGCCGCCGGGCCGCCCGACAGCCGAGCCGCCCAGCAACCGAGCCGCCCAGCAGCTGAGCCACCCAGCAGCTCAGCCGCCGAGCCGCCCAGCAGCCGAGCCGCCGAGCCTCGCGACCGTCGAGCCGCCCAGCAGCCGAGCCGCTGAGCCGCTACCAGTCCCACCGACGCGCCCCGGCCCTCCTTACTCGTACTGGTGAGCCCACTCCTTGCTAGACCTCTGTAGTCATGGCTACCCCCAGTGTTCTTACCTTTGACAGTGAGGGCCGTGCTGTTGAATTTGAGGTCTGGATTGATGAGCTCCAGCTGTTCCTCCAGTGCGATAGGGCAGACGGCCTCTCTCTGTTCGACCTCACCTCCGGTGCCTCCCCTGCCCCACCTGCTACTGCTGATAGCACTGTTCGCTCACAGTGGGCGACACGCGATGCTGCTGGCCGTCTTCCTGTGCGTCGCCACTTACCGACCACTGAGCGTGCACACTTTAGCCAGTACAAGAGTGCTCAGACCTTGTACGACGCTGTAGTTGCACGCTACTCTTCCCCTGCCACTGCTGCACTGAGCCGCCTCATGCTACCGTACCTCTTCCCTGACCTTGCTGCCTTTCCCACAGTCAATGACCTCATTACGCACCTCCGCACTAGTGACACTCACTACCGCGCTGCGCTTCCTGCTGAGTTCTGCGCCAAGAACCCCCCCCCCATGTACATCACTCTCTACTACATAGTCACCCGGCTCCCTGACTCTCTCCGCGTAGTCAAGGACCACTTCCTCTCAGTTTGCCCCACCACTCTCACCGTTGACCTCCTCCAGAAGGCCCTCCTAGCAGCAGAGACAAGCATAGTTGCTGTAGGAGCCTCTCGTGGTGACCCTCGCACCCTTGTCTTTGAGGGGTGTTCCCCCTCCCCCCTCTTGCCCTCTGTTGCTTCTGCTGCTGTTGCCGACCTCGTTGGTTTCTACGGGGTCGGCGCTGCGTCTGCCCCTAGCGGGAGACGCCGCTCTGGCAAGGGCAAGGGGGGCAAGGGCGCTGGAGGGGCTAGAGGGGGCGGTGGAGGTGGTAGTGGAGGCGGTAGAGGGGGTGGGGGTGGTGGTCGGAGTGGTGGCGGGGCTGGCGGTGGCGGTGGCAGCAGTGGAGGCGGCGGAGGCGGCGGTAGTGGCGGAGGGAGCGGAGGCGGCGGAGGTGGCGGAGGCGGCAGAGGTGGCGGAGGAGGCGGAGGCGGTGGCGGCGGCGGAGATGGAGCTAGTCGCGACTCTGCGCAGAGGAGTGGGTCCAGTGGTGGTCTCTACCTCCCCTCGTTCTCTACGAACTTGATGAGTGGAGCGGACCTGCAGGATAGGGGGGTTGACCAGTTCACTCCTGCGAGTCAGCGGGTGACCCACTGCACGTCTGCTCGGACAGGCCGACACTTGGCCACGTTCACCCGTCGGCCAGGGTCGAGCCTGTACACCCTTACTACTGAGTCTCCTCCGGCTGCTGAGTCTAGCCAGGTAGTTGCGTCGAGTCAGGTGTTTGCAGCAGCGTCCAGGTCTGGTCCTGAGTCTACTCCCTGCTCGTGTCGACTCCTGTCCCACCAGACTCTCCTTTGGCACCACCTTCTTGGTCACCCCTCCCTGCCTCGTCTCCGAGGCATGGCCTCTCGTGTCCTTGTCTCTAGTCTCCCCCGGTCTCTCCCTCCCCTACCTCCGGGACCTGGCCCTACCTGCGTCCCCTGCGTCGAGGGGCGACAGCGCGCCGCCCCTCACTCTTCCAAGTTTCCTCCGAAAGAGGCTCCACTACAGACCCTCCACATAGACGTGTGGGGCCCCGCCCGCGTCCGTGGGCAGGGGCACGAGCGTTACTTCCTGTTGGTGGTTGACGACTACTTGCGTTACACCACAGTCTTCCCCTTGTGCAGCAAGGGCGATGTCACTGAGGTGTTGATCGGCTAGATCCGCGCAGCTCGTCTCTAGCTCAGGGAGAGTTTCGGCTCGGACTTTCCTGTTCTGCGTCTGCACTCTGACAGAGGCGGGGAGTTTTCCTCTGCCCGTCTGGGAGCCTTCTGACGGGCACAGGGCATCCGCCAGACCTTCACGCTTCCAGCCTCTCCACAGCTAAATGGGATTGCTGAGCGCCGCATTGGCATGGTCATGGACGTCGCTCGTACGTCCATGATGCATGCGGCTACCCCCCATTTTCTGTGGCTCAACCTTCAGCCCCGGGTCTCCTTGCCTGAGACCTCCCCCACCTTGCGGTGGACGGGGAAGGTTGGCGATGCGTCTGCGTTTTGGGTCTGGGGATCTCGGGCGTTTGTCCGCGACATGTCTGCGGACAAGCTGTCCCCTCGTGTTGTTCCCTGCGTCTTCCTTGGCTTCCCCCCTGACGCGCCTTGTTGGCAGTTTTACCACCCCACCTCGCGCCGTGTTCTGTCCTCCCAGGACGTCACCTTTGACGAGTCGGTGCCTTACTACCGTCTCTTCCCCTACCGCACTGCGCCCCTCCCCCCGCCGCCGCTCTTCCTTGCACTTGGTCCTCCCCCGGTAGATCCCCTCCCCCCTCAGGGTCCTGCCCCGTCAGGTGTGTCCCAGGTAGACGCAGTCGAGCCTGTCGAGGTAGCTGATGACTCTGGTGCTGTTAGAGCTGCTGAGCCTGCGGGTGCCGGGTCTGGAGGTGCTGAGTCTGGGGGTGCTGAGCCTGGGGATGCTGAGCCTGGGGGTGCTGAGCCTGGGGGTGCTGAGCCTGGGGGTGCGAAGCTTGGGGGTACGGAGTCTTGGGGTGCGAAGCCTGGGGGTGCGGTGCCTGGGGGCGTTGGGTCTGGTCGTGTGGCCGCCGGCGTTGCTTCGTTGAGGCGGGAGCCACTCTCTCCACAGGAGCTGCGCGAGTGGTTTGCCCGGCGCTGGAGCCGTGCTGCTGGAGCTGGAGGTACTACTGTTGCTGGCTGTTCCAGAGGTGCTCATACTGACGGTATTGGAGCTGCTAGGACTAAGGGTGTTGCTGACGGTACTGGAGCTGCCGGTCGTGCTGGAGTTGGTGGTGCTAGAGCTGCTGGAGCTGGAGCTGCTGGCATTGTTGGAGCTGGAGGTGCTGCTGGCGCTGGTGCTTCCGCTAGGGGTACTGGTGCTGTCCTTACTGATTCTGGAGGCGCTGCCCGGCCGCGGCCGTACTTCGTTCCGCTCCTTGAGCAAGTTCTTGGTCTCCCGCCCTCTACTAGTCCTGCTCCTCCTTTAGAGTGTCCACAGCCTGTCAAGTCGCAGTCACAGTTACCGCCCGCCTCCCCCCTACCTGCTCCTTCTCCCTACAGCGGTCCTACTGGAGGTCTTGCTGAGCGTCGTGAGCCTGCGTCTCGTCCTGCGTCACCTATTCGTGCTGCTCGCACTAGTGGTTGTGCTCCGCGTCCGCGTCCTCCTACGGTTTAGAGCACACACCAAATGGCACTGCATCCATCTACTGCTCCTCTGCGTGTCCCGTTGCCGTCTCCTCTAGAGTCCTCTCTTCCTGTTCTTGCTGACCCGGAGTCTGACTCTCTTCGTGCTGCCAGTCCTACAGTCACGCGTCTCCTGGCTACTATTGTCACTGACCCTTCCTTTGAGTCCACTGCTGCGTCTGCCCTAGTTGCTAAGCTTGTCGACTTTGCTGCTAGCTGTCGTCTAGACTACGCTGCTAGTCTTGTTGCTGAGTCTGAGTCTGTCTGTCCTCCGTCCGTCGGGGGTGAGTGTGCTCTTAGCACGGACGTCCTTGAGGACAGGCAGGAGGGGTTCCAGTGTTTTACTGCTGCTTTGCCTCATCTCGTGTCCACGCTGATTGCCCCTGAGGGAGACCGGGATGCACCGGACATCCCGACTCCTGGATTGTACGCTGAGGCGATCGAGGGTCCCTACTCCTCTCAGTGGCAGTCAGCCATGGATGCAGAGATGGCTTCCTGGAAGTCCACAGGCACCTACGTCGACGAGGTTCCCCCACCTGGGGCGAACATCGTCAGTGGCATGTGGATTTTGAGGGTGAAGCGGCCGCCGGGTTCTCCGCCTGTCTTCAAGGCGCGTTATGTGGCTCGAGGCTTCAGTCAGCGGCAGGGAGTTGACTACTTTCATACCTTCTCTCCCACCCCGTAGATGACCACTCTTTGGGTGCTGCTGCACATAGCCGCTCAGCGTGACTACGAGCTTCACTCTCTTGACTTCAGCACAGCTTTCCTGCAGGGCAGCCTGCACAAGGAGATCTGGCTATGCCGCCCACCTGGCTTCACTGGGTCGTTTCCTCCTGGTACCCAGTGGAACCTCCGGCGGCCAGTCTACGGTCTCTGCCAGGCGCCCCGTGAGTGGCACGACACACTGAGGACTACACTTGCGGCTCTTGGGTTTGCTCCTTCTTCTGCCGACCCGTCGCTGTTTCTGCGCACCGACACCTCTTTGCCGCCGCTCTACATCCTTGTGTACGTCGACGACTTGGTCTTTGCCACTCCTGACACTGCTCAACTCGCCCACGTGAAGTCCGAGCTGCAGAAGAGACACACGTGCATAGACTTGGGTGAACTACGCAGCTACCTTGGCTTGGAGATCACCCGGGACAGAGCACAGCGCTCCATTACCCTGACTCAGTCACACATGGTGCAGCAGGTCCTTCAGCACTTCGACTTCACGTACTCCTCGCCTCAGGCCACTCCTCTGTCTACTCGCCACTCGCTCTCAGCTCTGCCTTCGGATGAGTCCGTAGAGCCCAGTGGCCCGTACCCAGAGCTTGTTGGCTGCCTCATGTGCATGATGACCTGCACACGACCTGACCTTGCATACCCTCTTAGCATCTTGGCACGTTATGTTGCTCCTGGGAGACACCGACCAGAGCACATGGCTGCAGCGAAGAGGGTGTTGCGCTACTTGTGCAGTACGTCGGGCATGGGGCTAGTCCTTGGAGGGCGACGTCGAGTGGTCCTCACAGGTCACGCTGACGTTTCGTGGGCTGACGACCAGGCTACGCAGCGGTCGTCACAAGGTTACACCTTCAGCCTTGGCTCCGGCTCTGTTTCGTGGCGGTCTACCCGCTCGTCTTCTGTTCTCGGCTCCAGCTGTGAGGCTAAGATCTACGCGGGGGCCATGGCTGCACAGGAGCTACGCTGGCTCACCTACCTACTGACTGACCTAGGAGAGCAACCTCGTTCTCCTCCAGTTCTGTACGTAGACAACAAGGCCATGCTGGCCTTGTGTCGGGAGCACAGACTGGAGCACAGAACGAAGCACATTGCTCTTCGCTACTTCCTTGCTCGTGAGCTGCAGCAGCGTGGTCAGCTGCGCCTTGCTTACGTGGCCTCTGAGGCCAACACTGCTGATATCTTCACCAAGGCACTTTCGCTTGGTGATTATCAGCGCTTCTGCACGATGCTAGGTCTTGTGTCTACTTGGCCTCACTTGCTCACTTCTTGACCTTGCTTATACTGTGATCTTTCTATACCTGCACTTGCTTGTTTTCTTTTATATATGATCTTGCATGTGAACTGGCCTTTTGGCCTTGCTCTTGTGCTGGGATTGTGTGGTGACGTTGTGATCCACCCTGAGCTTGCTTTGCTTTGCTTGACTGGTCTTCTGACCTCTTATTCTCCCCCACTTTTCCTATGGGGGTGTGTGAAACTCATATTCTATAGCTTGTCTAGGCTATAGTGGGGTAGACACTATGGGGTACAGTTTCCTAGGGTTTTCTACTTGTACCCAGCCTTGTGCTAATTCATTCATTCCTCAATTCTCACATGTGAATGGGGGCGAGGAGGGGTCTGAAAACTCCCAGAACGGGAGCGAGTTTATCCCCTCGCACTCAGAGGCATCGGAGGATTTGGTCTCCCTGGGCGACGATGAGAACCAACATGTGTCAGCGCAGGGGCGAGTGAGGAGGACGGAGCAGGGTGGCATGCCACAACCACCCAACATGCAAGCAGGACAGGCCCCAGCTGTGCCACCACAGCCATCCGAGAAATCGCCAGCTGACCTGGCAAAGGATGAGTCTTTCTGGCACCTGCCCAGCACTTGGGACATCGCACCACTCCAGCGTGCGGATCAACCGTTCCTGGTGAGGCGGTTGCCCCCAAAGATTCTGGAGAGCTACAATCTGTGCCTTCTGGCCCCGCTGTTGCGATTGGCCGAGAAACCAGACTGTGTGGGGGCGTGAACGGTGCTGCAGTTTTTACCCCGCTTGACCCTTCGACCTCTACCAGAGCCGGTGGACGGGAACCGCTGGATCAAGATTGAGACTCGGCTGCACCACTCTAGGATCGGGGATCTTGCCGATCTCTACAGTGAGGCATGCGCGATCCCCAATACTGAAGCCTCGTCACGACACCAGCCAGACGAGGC